GCCAGGCATGAAGAAGAACTTGTTGTCAGTATCGCAACTAACATCGTCAGGCAACTACGTCTTGTTTGGCGCACAAGATGTGAAGGTCTATCGAGATCTTAAAATACCAGAAAAGCCAACAATGGAAGGACGGAGAGTGGAGTCTGTCTATGTGCTCTCCGCAGATTCTGCCTATGTAGACAAGACTCGAAAGAACGATACAACAGATCTATGGCATGCATGACTGGGACATGTTGGTTATCACAAGTTAAAGGTAATAATGGAGAAATCCATGCTTAAAGGCTTACCTCAGCTTGAAGTCAAAACGGATGTCGTTTGTGCTGGATGCCAGTATGGTAAAGCTCATCAATTACCATACAAGGAGTCAAATTTTAGAGCAAAGAAGCCACTAGAATTAATTCACTCGGATGTGTTCGGTCCAGTCAAGCAGACATCAGTTAGCGGGGTGTGGTACATGGTGACGTTCATTGATGATTATTCGAGATATGTGTGGGTTTTCTTCATGAAAGAAAAATCTAAAACATTCTCTAAGTTTCTAGAATTCAAGACAATGGTTGAAGGAGAAGTGAGAAAGAAGATTCGGTGTCTACGCTCAGACAATGGAGGAGAATACACATCGGAAGAATTCAATCGCTATCTGAAAGAATGTGGTATACGTCATCAATTCACATGTGCCAACACACTTCAACAAAATGGTGTAGCCGAGAGAAAGAATCGACATCTTGCAGAAATTTGTCGAAGCATGCTACACGCGAAGAATGTCCCAGGAAGATTTTGGGCTGAAGCAATGAGAACTGCTGCTCATGTAATCAATAAACTTCCCCAACCAAGGTTAGGTTTCATCTCACCATTTGAGACACTATGGAACATGAAACCTACTGTTAGCTACTTTCGAGTATTTGGCTGCGTCTGCTACGTATTTGTGCCTAGTCATTTACGTAGCAAGTTTGGCAAGAAAGCAGTCAGGTGTATATTTGTTGGATATGACAATCAAAGAAAAAGGTGGAGGTGTTGTGATCCAATAAGTGGAAGATGCTACACTTCAAGAGATGTAGTGTTCGATGAAGCATCTTCATGGTGGTCCTCGGAGAAGAAAGTCTTACCAGACTCGAAAAATATTGAAGAAATTTTAAACAAAACATGGGGGAGCAAACTGCACACATTTGGTCAAGTGTTGATACACCTAAAGATCTGAGCGACACTGATGTCATTGAGCAAGAAGTAACTCAAACAAGTGATGCCAGTGAAAGGGACACCGCCTCCACAACTTCGAAGGACGGAAAGAATCCGAAAGCCTAATCCCAAGTATGCTAATGCGGCCATTTTAGAAGACGGTGTTAAAGAGCTGGAGACGTATGAAGAAGCATTTAAGAATAAAGCTTGGCAGAAGGCAATGGAAGAAGAAGTTACAGCCTTAGAGCATAATCAAACTTGGGAGCTAGTACCAAGACCAAGAGATATAAAACCCATTTCCTGCAAGTGGGTTTATAAAATAAAGTGTCGCCCAGATGGATCAATTGAAAGATACAAGGCTCGTTTAGTGGCTCGAGGGTTTTCACAACAATATGGAATGGACTATGATGAAACATTTAGTCCAGTGGCAAAGATAACTACTGTACGGGTGCTGCTAGCTCTTGCAGCTAGTAAAGACTGGAAATTATGGCAGATGGATGTGAAGAATGCTTTCTTGCATGGAGAATTAGACCGGGAGATCTACATGAACCAACCAAAGGGATTTGAGGATGCAGTTAATCCCAATCATGTGTGCAAGCTGAGAAAAGCTCTTTACGGATTAAAGCAGGAACCAAGAGCCTGGTATGGTAAGATTGCTGAATTTCTTTCCCGAAGTGGTTATTCAGTTGCACATGCAGACTCAAGCATGTTCGTCAAAGAAAAAGAAGGGAAGTTGGCAATTGTGTCAGTTTATGTGGATGATTTGATCATCACCGGGGATGACGAAAAAGAAATCCATCAAACAAGAGAAAATCTATCAGTGCGATTCCAAATGAAAGAGTTGGGGGAGCTTAAACACTTCTTGGGGCTAGAAGTTGACCGTACAAAGCCGACGAAAGTATACAAGAGATATACTTCAAAAGTTTGGCATGTCGGACTATAAGCCAGTATCAACACCGATAGAGCCAAATGCCAAGATCTGTGCACATGAAGGAAAAGAGTTGGACGATGGAACAATGTATCGACAACTAGTAGGTAGTCTTATCTACCTAACTTTATCTCGGTCTGACATTGCTTATGTAGTGGGAGTTATGAGTCGATACATGTAAAGTCCGAAGAAACCTCATTTGGATGCTGCCCGGCGGATCTTGAGATATGTCAAAGGTACAATTGACTATGGTCTCTTGTATAAAAGAGGAGAAGACTGCAAGTTGGTTGGATACTGTGATGTTGACTATGCAGGAGACTATGATATCCGAAGATCAACCACTGGGTTATGTGTTCAAGCTCGGGTCGAGATCAATATCATGGTGCAGTAAAAGACAACCAACAATATCATTGTCAACCACTGAAGCGGAGTACAAAGCAGCGGCCGTAGCAGCTCAAGAAAGTACATGGTTGGTACTCCTAATGGAGGACTTACATCAAAAAGTTGACTATGCGGTACAACTTCACTGTGATAACCAGTATGTAATTCGGCTGGCAGAAAATCCAGTATTTCATGCTAGAACAAAGCACGTGGAAGTGCATTATCACTTTATCAGAGAGAAAGTCTTGATGGAAGAAATTGAGATGCGACAGATCAAGACCGATGACCAAATAGCAGACTTGTTCACCAAAGGGCTGAGTACTGGAAAATGTGAAGGTTTTCGCTGTCAGCTTAACATGGTACGAAGAATGGGGGCTAGTGCTGAGGGGGACTGTTAAAGATCATCACTAGCCCAATATAACAAATATTATCTAGAAGACTTTAGCTTGTTCTAGAATGCTCTAGAAGATTCTAGAACATTATGGAAGACTATGGAAGACTCCGGAATATACTAGAAGAGTCTAGAACACCCTAGAGCGACATGGAAGACCCTGGAAGGTTATGGATCATTCTAGAAGACACTGGAGCAACCTAGATCTCTCCAGAACATGGTAGAATATTCTAGAAACATATGGAAGCTTATAGAGTATGTTAGATAGTTCTAGAGTAATCTAGTAAATAGTAAGTGTATACTAGTATCTAGAACCTTCCTAAGAGGCCTATAAATATGTATGGAGCTCATTTGCTCCAAACCATCCAAGAAGAGCCTCAAAGAAAGCAAAGTGTGTAGTAGTCTCTCAAAGTGTAAGTTCTTCTTAAGTGTCTTAATAAAAGTATTGTTGTTTCCCACACAAAGAGTCGTGTTCAACATTTAGGTCGCTCTAACGATGGCAGATGGTGGGAGTGGCCGGCGGCGCCGGAGGTGCAGGGCAAGTGGAGAAAGGTGAAGATTTGAACATATAAAGAGATCAAAATGAAATCTAGTTGTAATTTCTTCAATTTAAGAGATGAAAAAGAAATTCAGTTGTAATTTGTTCAATATAAGAGATGAAAAAGAAGTTGTTTTACCTTAGATTTGTACAGAGAATGGCGGTGGTACGGTGGTTCTTCAAGAGACATAAATCGAGTGAGATAGAGGGGAGAGATGGTGTGCTTCAGTTTGCCCTAAAGAAAAAAAGTACAAAATTGGTAAATAAACAGACCTGATGAACCAAACACAAAATGACTTCTTCTTAGTGGACGGTGGGGGTTTAGGCTATAATAATTGATGGAAAGGCACTGATTTGATCGTGTCTTCAACTTTATATGAACAATGAGCAGAAATTGCCGAGATATGGGGAAATGATGAGATAAGGGAATGAGGCGGGTCAAAACAATAACCCTTAATAATAGGTGGCGATAGGAATTTTTTTTGACTTTTTCGATGGTTCTGTAATGCAGAAACTGGTTATACATATCACATTAATGTTTGTACCTCTTAAAATTAAGCAAAACATGCTAAATGCTTATTAATATATATATATATATATATATATATATATATATATATATATATATATATATATATATATATATACTAGCCGTTACCCGCGCAAAGCGGCGGCGGCGGCGAATAGTTCGATACGACAAAAATTTTCATTAAAAAACGTGTTATATTTCAAGGAACCAAAGTTACTTTTCGACGAATCACTTTCGTTCGGTGTTTATTTGTCATTCGAAAATATCTATTTAAAAGTTTGTTGTTGTTTTGGATAAAAAATAGAAGTAGTTGATGTTTTTTGTTAAAAAAAAAGTGTTTTTGAACTAAAAATAAATGCATACTTTTGTTTTTTATATAAATATATATTGTTGATTAAAAACCCAATTAAATCATTGTTTTTTTCAGTATAAATACGATTTATGTTTTTTTTAACAACAAAGAGGTAACTAATAAATCGGCGTCTAGGAGGAGACCCTTATCCGGTCTAGGCGATCAACTCATGTCAAACGACTATTTAACGTCCAGGTGGAGACTTAATTCTATTAGAAATTTTAAAAATTGAAAATTTAGGTTGTCTAAACGAATACTTACTCCATTGTTTGTTTAAATTTTATGTTTAAATCGTATTTGACAAAATTATCTAGAATGATTGACAATACTATCTTTCGCTGTTTGCTTGATTGCTAGCCCTCTCATCTGGTTCTGAACCAGTTAAGACGTCATCAGTGTTATGAAGTTTCTATGATAAGACGACACTACATATTAACTAAATCGGATTAGGTGAGTTTGATTCGTGGAGACTCTTAAATCTTGTCCACATGGAGAGATGTTAGTTACATGGGAATCCGTGATTTCTCTTCCTGTATTTATTTAAGAGCACCACCAAAACACCAAAACAAAATGATTTAACGCTTTAAAGGTCTTGCTGATCAAAACCTTAAAAAGCAAAATAAAAGTCTTAAAACCATTCCATAGTTTTACACATTACTTAAACCATTCCGAAATCTTAAACTTATAGAAAAGCATAAACACCAAACCTAACTATCAAAAGTGAGTTTTAGTTTCAAAAATCAAGCAAAAGATGAAACAATTCCCACACAAGTAACTGAAATACACCATAACACCATGATAGTATACAATACAAATAAATATCTTCACAAGCATCAATATTTATAAATAAACCAGCTCACATTTATTTATTGGACAACCACTTCCCTTTAACACCATAACACCAAGCAAGTCCCTGTTGGAGCTGATAATGTCAGCGACAGTTATTTAGTGAATATATCTGCTACATCATGGTTACTTGAGAAAATGAGAATCAATATTTCCAGTTATTGCACAAACCAAGTCCAGATACGATGTTGGATCCACTATACTTGGGTTTGCTTTCTCGAACTCTATAGTCCAGATAACAAACTTCTTATCGCCCACATCTTTGGTCATAAGGATGAAACTAAATGAATTATGCACCTCCAAGATATCTCCTTCAATCACTTTGAACACAATTTTGTGTAATTCATCATCAATTTCTTCAATGATTTCTTTAGCAGTTCCCTTTGCTCCATCTACGGAAAAACCATAAGTAGTTAGTACATATTTACATGCATAGATGTGTATGTGTGTGTGTCGTGTGGTATAGATCCAACATATAAAAAGTTTTTATATTCAATTAGCACGGATGAAGTAGTTTACCGTGGTAGTAGTGCCACTGAAATGACAGCTCCAGGAACACCCCATTCACCAAAAACTAAATGGCAAGCTTCAATCCTCTCAGGGTCGACGATTGATGTGTCGTGTGGCCTGTGCTTCAAGAGTTCAAAGACCAGGTGACGATGACATTTGATTTCAACTTCACGTGATATCTTTCCTGTTGTAGCCATCTTTTTTCTTGCGGCAATAGCTATATAGCTAGTTGTCCTCTCTAATGGTAGTACTTGAGTAACTGATGCATGAGGTGTGCACTTATATTTGACTAGACTTTATATTATATTAGAGGGTATCAAAGTGTAACATTGTAAAGTATATATATTTATCCGTGTAATGTATTCATGAATATACAACATCGATTACCAAGATTAACTTGGTATCAGAGCCCTAAACCTAATCGGCAGCCACAATAGCCGTTCTCCCTCCAGAAGTCGTCAACTGCCATTTTCTTCTATTTTCTGTTCCTGGTAATCACAAAACAAGATGACAACTCTTGTTGCTTTTACTCAAGCTGAGAAAACTGTTCACAACTCACACAAGTTTGGTTTCAAACTATCCTCAACCAATTACGGGCACTGGAAAACAATGATTCAGCCTTTTCTTGTGTCAAAAAATCTATTCGGCTATATCGATGGTACCATTCCTTGTCCCTCATCTACAATCTCAGTGGCTACATCCTCTTCTGATAAAGACAAAGAATCGACAACTGCTACACAAGTCAACCCTGAGTTTACAATCTGGGTTTTGAATGATGCTCACGTAAGGATGATAGTTCAGTCCACAATCTCTGAAAGTGCTTTTCAACATGCTCAAGGAAACACTTCTCGAGAATTATCGCTTGCTCTGGAACGTGCTTTTTCCCCTCATACCTCTTCAAGGGAATACACCTTCAAGACTCAATTGTTGAAGATACAAATGAAACCTGATGAGTCGTCATCCGCCTATCTTACTACGGCTCAAGAATACTCGGATGCCTTAGCCAACATAGGCGAACCCATGAAAGAAAAAGATTTTGTCATGCTCGTTCTATCAGGGTTACGTGAAGAATACAATGGTCTAAAGTCAACCATCCTTGCCCGTCAAGTCCCCATTCCTTTTGTTGATCTTCATGCTCTACTGCTAGATCATGATTATATGATCTCAAAAACCTCCACCGAGGTTACTCCAGCGCAAGCCTTCACTACAACAACATCCATTCGGAAACCAGCCACTACAACCATCTCGTCCCTGGCCTCTACAGAGGTAGTTCAAGCCATTCAACAACTTGCTGCTCAGTTAGGTTTTCAGTTGCAACCTCTTAGTTCCCAGCAACCTCAAGCACACTACATGAATAGATCTCAGAACAACCGTGATCGGGCTCAAAACAGTCGACCAGGTAACTCCAGCAACAATCGTGGACGTGGGAACTACAACAATCGCATTCAAGGAGGAGGTACTCGTAATCAGTTTAGTTGGGCATCTAATCAAAATACTATTTTTGGTACATGTAACAGGTGTGGTATAGGGCATGTACCGTCTTAATGTCCAAACCGTGACCCAGTACACTCAGATTGAGACAGGCACCGTCTGCCAACTATGCTGATTACCGCTCACAAGCTTCAAGTACCTGGCTTCCAGATACATGATCAAGTCATCATGTTGCATCGAATCTCTCTAGTTTTGACAACTCTGAAGCGTACTATGGCGAGGATAATCTTCATGTTGGCAATGGTAAAGGTTTACCTATCTTACATATTGGTTCTTCAAGCTTTCATTCACCCACCAAAACATTCAATCTTAAACATGTCCTACGTGTAGGGGTGTTCAAAACCGGATATCCGAAAATTCGGATATCCGAAAATTTCGGATAGTTAATATCAATATCCGTATCCGTATCCGAAATTTCGGATATCCGAATTTCGGATATCCAAAATTTCGGATATGGATTCGGATACTAAAACCGGATATCCGAAAAAATTATTATTTTCTTATAAAATCTATTTAATACATAATAATGCAACAAACTAAATTTACAATTGAAAATTTAGCTTTTAAACAGCTAATAGCGACAAACTCTCATACGCTACTGCTAGTTAAATGCAAAATCAAGATCAAACTATTACTTTGTTGTATTTGTTTTTGAAACCAAATATATTGCGATAATTGACTGTTAAATATTAACGTATAAAAGTGTTTAACCAAAATCCAGTTATTATGTAAAAAAACTTCACAGTGAGAGAGACATAAAACACATTCAAATATCAAACTCCCATCTAAAACGCATCATTGTTTTCTTTAATTTTTTAAACAACATCCAATCATTCCAATAATTAAATAATAATAATCCAACATTCATTTGCCAAGTAAAACAGTTTCACAATCAAACAAACAGAATACGTATTCATATCCCATTTTCTTATAATAAATAAATTAAGAATATTAATAACAAATAATTTTCGGATATCGGATATCCGAAATATCCGAAAATTCATAAATCCCCTATCCGTATCCGAATCCGAAATAACGGATATCCGAAAATTCGGATATCCAAAATTCCGGATATCCGAAATTTCGGATAATTTCAGTTCGGAATTTCGGATTTTCGGATGCGGATATTTTTGAACACCCCTACCTACATGTCCCAGCCATTTACACAAAGTCTTCTCTCTGTTCAACAATTTTTTCAAGATAATAATGTTTATTTTGAATTTCATTATACCTTTTTTCTTGTGAAGGACACATCTACACACAATATCCTCCACATGGGTCCAGGGGTCTCTATTCCTTCAATCTCCCGAGAGTGCAATCTAAAGTGTCCTTCTCTGCAACTCGTGCTTCTCCGACTACATGGCATTAAAGATTAAGCCACCCGCACCCTCAACTTTTGAAGTCTATGTTTTCTAAGTTTCGTTTACCTTTGACAAACAATTGTTCTAGTATTTCCTGTGATTCATGTTCTATTGGCAAGTCCTCAAAACTTCATTTATTTCCATCTAATATTAAAAGCAATCATATTTTGGATCTTATTTTTTGTGATGTTTGGGGTCCTGCTCCTGTTACATGCTTTAGTGGTCACCATTATTTTCTATTGTGTGTAGATCATTTTACTAGATTCATGTGGATATTTCCTTTAAAACAAAAATTTGATGTTTTCCCTACCTTTAAACAATTTCTTCTCAATGTTAAACACCAATTTGACACTAAACTTAAATCTGTTCAAACCGATTGGGGGGGGGGTGAATTCCGAAACCTTTCCTCATTCTTTTCCATTCTTGGCATCATACATTGCCTCTCTTGTCCACACACAAGTGAGCATAATGGCTATGTTGAACGTCGTCACCGACACGCTGTCGAAACCGGCCTCATATTATTAGCCAAATCCAATGTTCCACAACGTTTTTGGCATTTTGCCTTTGACACCGCCACTTATCTTATTAACCGGATGCCCTCACGGACTAATTCCAATACTTCACCTTTTGAACTTGTCTTTCGCCATCAAGCTAATTATTCGTTCCTACGAGTGTTTGGGTGTCAATGTTTTCCTCACCTACGCCCTTACAACAAACATAAAATGGACCTCTGCTCTACACCATGTGTGTTTCTCGATTATAGTACCTCCCATCATGGCTATCGCTGCTTCGATCCACAAACCGACCACATCTATATTGCACGCCATGTCCGCTTCAATGAACAATTATTTCCATTTTCCATGTCTCCAACTCCTCTTGATCCTTCTCCATCCAATGAACCATATTACTCATCTTATCCAACTGCTCCACCTGTTCGAAATTTACCCAACCACCAAAATGGCACACCACCTCAAACTGAACCACCACAAACATCTCCAACCATGCAATCACCTACTTCAACTCAACCAGCTCCTCTCTCTAGCCAAACATACTCCCATCGCACAAACATACACCCCACCACTACCTCAACTTCTTCCGCTTATGACCGTTATACACATGCTCATCCTCCTTCTACTCATGAGTCTTCCATACCGCCATCTTTAGTACCTCGTGTTCCTAATACAAATGTAGTTGATTGCAAGTGGGTCTATAAGCTAAAACATGATCAAACTGGGGCTATTAAACGTTACAAAGCCAGGTTAGTAGCAAAAGGGTTTCGTCAACAACTAGGGTCGATTTTCATGAGACTTTTAGGTCCCGTTTGATAGTTTCTGTCTGGGAAAGTGCTGTCTGGTAAAGTGTTGTCTGGGAAAGTTTTCTGACTGGGAAAGAAACCATGGTGTTTGATTGTACATCTGATTGACTGTGCTGAATGATGAAAAGAAGTAATAATTCAATAAAAAATAAATTTAAAAAAAGTTATTTAAAAAAATTAATAATCCAATAAAGAAAGAAAGAGGCGGGGTTTGGTGTATAATTGTCTTTCCAGCCAATTCAGCCAGAAAGATATGATTTCGGGGCTTTCTGGGAAAGACATATCTTACAGGGAAAGACCCCTTCTTTTGTGCAAATCAAACAGTCTTTCCTGTCCATTCAGCTAGAAAGATCTGTTTGGACCTGGAAAGATGCGTATCAAACGGGGCCTTAGTCCTGTTGTCAAGTCTACAACCATCCGTCTTGTTCTCTCATTAGCTGTTGCACAAAATTGGCATCTACGACAACTTGACGTTCAAAATGCCTTCCTCCATGGCAACTTACGGGAGACCATGTACTTACAGCAACCACAGGGCTTTGTTGATCCACAAAAACCGAATCATATATGCCTCTTACATAAGTCGTTACATGGATTAAAGGCTCCCCGGGCATGGTTTCAACGCCTCTCAAGCTCCTTACACGATCTCGGCTTCACGGGGTTCTAAAACTGACCCATCTCTCTTTATTTACTCTAAATCTGGTACACTCCTTTATATGCTAGTCTACGTTGATGAAATTCTTTTGACATGCAATAATCCTAAAGCGATTAATCATGTGGTCCATAATCTTAGTCGTTCTTTTGCAATTCAAGATATGGGCAGTCTTTCCTATTTTCTTGGGATAGAAATTACTCCAAGAGGCGAGGACATCATCCTTTCACAGCACAAATATATTTTGGACCTTTTTGCACGTGCAAATTTATCTAATGTCAATTCTATGCCTACACCAATTGCAAGCAATGCTAATCTTGCCCTCGGTGATAGCCCTCTGCTTGATGATCCAGTCAAATATCGGCAAATAGTTGGTGCTCT